CCCAAAAAAAGTTTTAACCTTTAACTGTTATAAAACTGAAATGAAAACCGAGTTCTAATCTCGAAAAGCCGTGTTTTCAGTCACTGGAATGAGGCATTTGCCTCCACCCGATGGTAGTGTATGGCCCTGGACCCTAAGTGATCTTACCTTTGAGAGTGGGGGGAGCCAGGGGGCAGCAGCACGTCCCCCGGGGCTGTGGGCTCACTCGAGATGTGTTTGGGGGAGCTTCGTGCAGACAGTCGGCGCCCAAGGGTTGGCTGTGGGGCAAGTGGTGGCTTGGGTTAATGTAGAGTAGGGACCAGGCAAAAAATGTCGTGAGAGGTGGTGGGCTCTCGGGCTAGGGGCTTGGCAGATGTCCACACCTAGGACAGGAAGCTAGATGCCCAGGCCAGGGTGGGAAGTGCGGGTCCGGCGGACTCTGACCTGTTCCTCGGGCACTGACACGGGCCCCTCGACCTCCCAGGGTGCCTCCTGTAGCGCGTCCAGGGGTGGCTCCCAGCCGCTGTGGAACTTGGGCACGTAGGGAGGCACCTGCGGCTCCCGCGGCCACTCGGAGCTGGGCGGACAGTCCTGGGTCAGCCTCGATCCCCGGAGCTGGCCTACGGGGTACACCCACCCTGTCCCACCGCGACCGTACCGGGGCCGCGTCCAAGTCTCCCCCAGCGACTCCCACAGTGACATCTCCTTGGGGATCAGGTGGCCGCGCAGGAAGCCCACGGCGTCACGGGAGAGCAGGGGGCTGGACACGGAGCGGGCGAGGTCCGGGCCTCCGCAGGTGTTGACGATCTGGGACACGGCGCGGGTCAGACTGCACTCGCGCACGCCCACCGCTCGGCCATCCCCATGTCCCATTCCCAACCCGCAGCTCCACGGCAGGGCCAGGAGACGAGGCGGTCACTGAGATACTCGCTCGCTTCCGAACCCGCTCGGGCTCTGACACCCTGGCCGCGCCCGCCCGGCCGCCGTCTCCGGCCTCGCCCACCCTGGCCCCACCAGCCCGGCCCGCCCTGGCACCAGGTCCAGCGGTCCGAAGAGGAAGTGCACCAGTTCTGCGGCGCTGGGGTTCTGGATGTGTTTCTGCAACTTCGCCTGTCGAAGCGGGATGGGGCGAGTGAGCAGGGGACAGGTGGGGACCCAGGTACCCCACACCCTCACTGCCAGCGCAGGGAGAGGTCGCACTCACGAGTAGGTTAATGGCCAGCTTGGTTTTCTGGAAGCAGTCCACAAACTCAGCTTCGGCTGGGGGCCGCGCCCGCAGGGTGAGGACGCCCTCTGGGGGTCGGGAGGCGTGAGCGCGGGCCTCCCCAAGGCGCTCCCCCAGCATCTGCGCCCAGGCGCCTGCTGCCCCTCCCGCCGCCCCCCAGCCCCGCACCTGCCGGCCCCTTTTTGCCCTTCTTCTTCCCTTTCTTCCTCTGGTTCAGCTGCTTGAAAGCCTCGGCTGCCTTCTGCAGCCGGGCCACGAACCACTCAATGTCGTCCAGGGCGCAGTTGAGGATTTGCTAGGGTCAGAGGTGGGGCAGGTCGGCCACGCTGGGCGTGGTAGGGCAGGGAGGGTCCCGGGAGCCCCCGCCCCTCCCCCCGCCCCTCCCCCCGCGGACACCCACCGTCTCCTTTTCTATCCTATGGGCCAGCACTGCCCGCGGCTCCTCTTCCTGCGATTCCCGGTGACGGTAGCCTGGTCAGGAACAGAGAAGCTGCAACAGGGTCCCCAGATCCCACCCCCTGTCTGGCTCCTAGGCCTACCTGGGTCCTGGAACGGGGCTGGGGGGCCCACTCGGTTCTTAGCGTGAGGGGAGTCCCCAGTCTGGCGCTGAAAAGGAATGGGGGCCGGACCCTGGGGAGGAGGCAGGATCGACTGCCGCTGACGGATCTTCTCCTGGTGTCCCCTGGAGAGGTAAGGACCCCGTCTCAGCCTGGCTGCCACCCCCACTGGGGTGTCTCCCACTGCCCTTGCCCCTGCACTCCACTCAGGGAGGCCCCTGGCTTCCCTTGGCCCTACTTCAGAGTCTGTGGCCTCATCTTCTTCCCCAGCCGGCAGTCGGCCAATGCGCTCTCGATGTCCTCCTGGACCAGCTCGGCCTGGGCACACAGAGGTGTCAGGTCAGGCCAGCCCTGCGAGCAACAGGCAGCCACCTGGGCACCTGCTGCCTCACCTCCACCTCGTCGCAGTGGAAGAAGTGGATGTCGGGCTTGTTCTGCTCAGAGTCCTGACACACCAGGAGCAGCACGGAGGGGTAGCGCAGCTGGTTGAGCACTGTCTGGCTGTGCTGCACCGTGGGCAGCGGGAAGTTCTCCAGCTCCTCCTGGGGGCAGGGGTTGGGGTCAGCACAGCCCTGGACTTGGAGCTGGACTGTGGTGGCCCCGGCACACAGTGGACGCACATATGGACGCACACAGTTCCTGAGAAAGGAACCAGTAAAACACAGCCTGGGGGACTCCTTGTGGGCCCAGCACATGGGCTAGTGTCCTTGGACACAGACACACATCACCCACAGGCACAGGAAAGGGACAGGTATGGCCCAGATGTGGCCTAGGACACAGACAAGGTCCCGATCAGGCCTAGTCACAGCTGCAGATACACCCAGGACACAGGCAGGTGCTTGCTACAGCTGCGAGGTACTCTCTGCTCCATCCTGTCCTCCCACCTCTCCTGGGCCCTGTCATCTTCGGCCAGCTGGAATGGCAGGGAATGCCTGGCTCACACAGAGGTCCTGGCATACATCAGGGACCAGAGAAAGGCAGTCTGGCCTCTGGACACCCTTACCTGTGTCTCAATGTCCAGCAGCCGCACTGACTGATCGCTGACCTGCAGCAGCATCTCCTGGGCCCACACCTTCTCCTTGGAGCTCAGCTGCACCAGCTTCCGGATGGCATCATCCACAGATGTGATGGCCTCACTCTTGTCCATGATGAATGTGGCCAGGTGCTGAGGGAGGCAGGTATCACTGCTGGGCACAGCCCCCATGCTGACTGGGACCAAAGGGGAACAGCCCCAGCCAGCCGTGAAGCGCCCTAGGAGCCACAGCCATCCTGGGGGATCCGGAGGGGTTCCTAGGTGGGGGGGTTTCTATTCTGCCCTGGTGGATTCTGTGGAGATCATGGTTGTGCATTGATAAAGCATTCATTAGGGCCGGCAAGAGAGCTCAGTGGACTAAGTGGCTGCTTTGGCAAGTGCAGGGACCAGAGTTTGATCCCTGGTTCCAAATGCTGGCCCTGTCCCTGGGGTGCACTAAGCTGGTGACTGAGTCTGGGCATGGTGGTGCAGGCCTGTAATCCCCAGTGCTGGGGAGGCTGAAAACAGGAGGATCACTACAAGTCCGAGCTGCATAGAGAGGCCCGGTACCAAATACATTAAAAAAAAAAAAAAAAAAAATTCAAGCTGGTTATATAGAGAACAATCCAGGCTAGTGTTGAACTCACTAACCAGTTTGTAATCCCAGCACTCAGGAGACTGAGGCAGGAGGGCTGCTGTGAGTTCAAGACCAGCCTGGGCTACATAGTGAGTTCAAGGCCAGTCTGGACTGTATAGTGAGACTGTGTCTCAAAAAAACAAGAACTTTAAAAAAACTTCAGACTGCTTCACAGCCCTAAACCCTGAGCCTGCTTCTCTCCCTTCCCTGCCACTGGGTTCTAAGAACTGAAGGCCTCTGACTCCAGTTTTGTCTTTGTTGCCCCAGTTGCTTTCCTCTTTCACAGAGGTCACCTGGCATGGCTGCCTTTGCTTTCATTTCTGACCCCACACCGGGCTGTGTGTCCTCCTACATCTGGGGCAGGTCCTGACTGCAGGGAGTGAGCCATTTCCTCTGGCCCAGGATAGGCCCTCTGGGATGTTCTTAGAATCAGAGCGCTGAGGGCCCTGGCACTGGCCTGGTCCTATGCCTCATCTCTCTGAGCCCCCTCCTTGCCAGGCTCCCCTCTATCTTCTTGGAGTGAAGCCCTCTTCCTTGTGAGCATTAGGACTGAGTAAACAGTGCTGTGACAGCTGGACAAACACTGACTGAGAAACACGAAGCCATAAAAGCTCTAGAAGAAAATACAGGACGATTTCTGGTCATCTCAAGTGTTTCTTCATAGGGTCCTTTCCTCCACAAAGAAGAAAATCCAGATGGAGACAGACAGACAGACAGACAGACAGACAGACAGACA